GCTTAAACATCTCTTCCTCCTATCCAGCAATCTATCTCCCTATGTAGTTTTATTTTTATTTTTTTCTTTCTTTCTTTCGTTCTTTCTTTCTTTCTATTTTTAACCCACCCGTGATTTGGACAACCTCCTTTCTCGTCTTTCCGTCAACCTGCGGGTTCTCAAACCGTTTTTCGGAGTGCCTGAAGACCTTCGAAGCGATGGGGAACAGGGCGTTTAGCTGGGGCCTTCTTGGAGGGACTCGGACTCGGAGCTACCCGGGCCGGGCCTCTCATGACACGGCTTGGCAATGAATAGGGACAGCATCACCCAAGGGTTTACTTTTGGAAGCCAAAACTTACAGACGTGCCAAGATTGTTTCGGTGGAACGCAGAAAGTGAGAAGGATGATATGTATGTCTCCGCATCGAGTGTTGGAAGTTATCAGTGTGTTTGGCAGTCAGCCTTTGGTAGGTATGAGGCACGGTTGGCTTCCTTCACATTCTCGCCGTTTTAGTGCAGTTTCCTCCATTTCCCTTGAAACGGGTCCAAAAGTGGCGATCGTTTCAATGGACACCACCAGTAAATTGATCAACATTTGCTGTGGGGAAATCCAGCGACCCCTGCAGTGGTCCCGTCCCTTTTCTGGTGGCTTAGAGGAACTGGTCGCTTCGCAAACAAATGGGGGCTCCTTTTCTGGGCCATCCCATAAAAGACGGAAACTGTCGCCAGGGCTGCGAGCTGTTGTGGGGCCAGCTGGCCAATGGCAATGAGTTAGCCACCAGCATGCGCCTCGTCGAACGCCAGTGACCTGCGTTCATGGACCCCCCAGGGGGCGGCGAACTAGCGAGGGTGGGGGGGCGGGGCCTATCCCGTAGTAGCCCACGAATAAGGTCTTGAGGCTTATCCTTGGCTTATCCAGGGTTAGCCCCCGCGCTCCCCAGAAAACACGTTAAATCTTGAGGGGTTCTCAGCCTCACGTTTTTCGGCCGGGGATTCGCTTTAAAAACCACCAACATATGATACATAGGTTTGAGGATGTCATTGTGGACCCGGTGCTACGGCAGCTGTCAGCCATTTTGCACTACGAGGCTGTGGACGCGTCGCGCGCATCCGGACTGCCCTAACCATTGCCCAACAGGGGGGGTGAACACTGTGCAATGGTTAAACTCCCGGGTTCAAAGCCAAGATCAGGTAGCCCCACCAAAGAGGGCTTGACTTTCATTTAGACGAGATGCCTATGTTCTTCGAGGTGTTTTTTTGGAAGACACCTCTTGCTGATTTTGTGGTTCCTCTTGTTTTTTGTTACTAAGGGAGGCCAAAGGAAAAACACCCATGTCCACGGTAGGCAAACCTAAGCACGGTAACCTCCCCCCAAGTTGAGAACCAGGGTTCTTGTTGCCAAATTTGCACACCCACATGTTTTCACTGGATTTCAGGCCTCTAGAAATACGTCATGAGAATTGCTGCCTGCTACACCCTTTTCTTTTTCTTTTTTTTCCGCAAGTGCGTAGCTGCAGAAGTTCAGGAAATTGGCCAACCAGCAAAACCAAGCGACTCTGGGCAGAATGTGCTGTGGCTGGTTAGATGTTTGTTTTGGACGTTTCCATGGCAGAATGTGCTGCGGCTCCCTCGCTTTGGGCACGCCCTTGAGGAAGGCGTCCCGGTGCTTTTTTGAAATCGACGCCGAGGTGTCGGTGTTTTCTTTTTGAAATCACGCCTGGGGGGTTCCGTTTTTTTTAAATCACGCCTGGGGGTCCTAGTGTTTTCTTTCTTTTTTGCATCACGCCTGGGCGTGATTTCAATAAAACAATCAAACACTGGAGCCCCCCAGGCGTGAGTTTGAAAGAAAAACACCCCGGCCCATCAGGCATGAATGCAACAAAAACAAACACCGGGACCCCCAGGCGTGATTTCAACAAAAAAAACACCGGAACCCCCCCCCCCCCAGGCATGATTTCAACAAAAACATACCAGGACCCCCCCGAACGTGAGTTCAAAAACAAAACACGACCCCCGAGGCGTGATTTCAAAATCTGTTTCTCAGCCAAAAACACCGGAGCCGACAAACACGCGACTTAAAGTTTTTGGGGATCCCTTTAAATACCAACACAGCATCTCATCACGTGGGTGTTTCCTTTTTGGAGGGCACACTTTTTGGGGCGGTTTCAAAGGGAAGTCACGAGGGTTTAACTTTTGGGGGTTCCCCTCACTTCCTGAGTTCATAAACTTTATTTAAACTTTGGGAAGACCATTTTAGTGGTAAATATAAAGTTTGGACTCTTTTTGGGCCATCCACTCGGCAAGTGATTCCCTCATTTTGAAACACACCCCAATCATTAGATTCTTGCATTTGCCAAGGGCTGTAAAACTGTGAACTTGATGGTCCTAGCACCGGGGCTTATTTTCTTAGGTGCACACACTACCTCCGCGACAATGTGTCGCAGACGGTCGTGGCCCCAGTTCAGAGAAGTTTGATGCCAGTTGTGAATTGTTGGCTTTTCTTTAGGTTTCCAATTGAAATTGACCCAAAGAAAAGTTCCCTCCTTAAAGCAAGAGAAAGCACATGGACATGCCTCCTGGGACATTTGAAGGTTCTGAATGTCTTGGTTGGAGGGAATCAGCTGTAGGACTTCGAAGATGAACCTGGAATCCAGGCATGGGCGTGTCTTTTACCGGCTCATTCCTTACTGAGCACCAGCTAGCAAATGCGGTCTCAAAATTGGGGGACCGCTTTTTTATGCTTTTAAAGGGAAATCGAAAGGAAGCCACAAAGGAAGTCAGATACTGGCAGTGAAGGAGGCAATCAGTGCCCGCTGAAGCGCGAAGTTCGCCTGGAAATTCAGGTCCGGATTGGGGAAGCACTGGACCAAAACCCGCCCTCCCCAAAACCAACACCATCAAAAACCCAGCCTCCCAGCCTCCCAGCTGCCCGCCCGCCCGCCCGCCCGCCCACCCACCCACCCACCCCAAAAGCCACCCCAAAGCCACCCTCCTTCAGGTCCTGGGCACGCCTTGGAAGGTCATCCGCGAGGCGCGCCCGCCTGGCCCGTCGGCCCGTGATGCGGCAGGCCCAGCATATACTGGGGGACCATTTTTTTTGGTTGGGAGGGTTCCCGGTACTAAAATAGACCACAGAAAAAAGGGTACCCTTATTCTAACCTCTCTACTGGAGGACCTTGATAATACATGATTGGGTTGTCTTTGGTTTCCGTTTGAGATCAAGGGAAGGTACCCTCAAAAGCAGACTCCAGTGGCTTATGACTGGGATACCAGGCAGGTTTCTGTTTGTGTGATTGTTTTTTGCTACTAAGACAGGGATGCAGTTTTGGTTTGTGTCTACATGCCGTATGAAGCTTTCGCCATTTTGGTTTAGATGTTTTTTTTTTTTTTTTTTTTTTTTTTTTTTTTTCGCCTGTGCCAAACTGCTATTGAACGGGGGAGGTCAATCGGGAGTCGACCACTTCAGCCAACCAAAAAGAAAACAGTCGGGCCATGTTGATATTGTATCGAAAGGGTTGCGTTCCAGAATTATGTGCAAATAGGTTTGCGAAGGCAGTCGGGTGGGGAGTCATCCACCTGAAGGGAGTCACCACTGATTCATTGCGAGGACATGCCTTGGAGGCATTTTTGGGTCGGCTGATTTTCAACTTCCCAAGCTTCTGGACCCACTTGGGTGTGTCTTAGAACGGAGGACCTCCCCAAAATGGGTGGTTTTTCCCTTTTGGTTTCCCTTTGCCCACAAACATTGGGTCGAAAAAGGCCCCGACTTTGTTGGCGAATCATCTCAATTATCTCTCTGAAGCGCGGTAGGGCGTGGTTGAAGCCCGGACCAAACCCGGTTGGCTGTGGTTCCTTGTTTTGAGGGGACCCTTTTTTGCGTGGTTCATTTTGTCAAAGTCATGTCTGTTTTTTGGAGACGGGGTTGTCTCGGTCCCACCCTGGTTGTTTTTTTTTGGCGGGCTCAACCCACAGGAGTGCCGGTCGAATTGGTTCAATCGCCGAATTACCTACTGGTCCTCGTCACAAAACTCCCAGGACACCTTGGAGATTGCCCCTGGGGTCCATGGACAGAACGCTGCGGGAATTCCGAGTTCCTTCCCGCTTTAGAAGTGAAAAATCGTCCCTTGGAAGGTCGGTTTGACCAAAGCACAGCAGAAGAACCGAAGCAAGCCTTTGTAGGAATGAGGGAATGAACCTAGGGATCCCCTGAAAGGAAACCACAGGGGAGGGTTTTTTTGGGAGTCATTCCATTTCTCATCCCCCACTGAGCACCAGCAAGAAAAGGTGGGATCATGTTGCCATCTGTTGGCCTCCGCGGAGCCTCCGCAGCATCTTACCGCCAAATGCCACGGTTCGCGAATGCCATGGCAATAGGTCAAGCCACCAGTTCCCACTCGTTTCTGGGGATGACTTGGTGGTTCCCAAGCCTAGCCTGAGCCTTGAGCTTCTGAGGTTGGAGAGAGGTATGACAGACCTTCTTTTTTTTGGCAGCAGTATGGACAGTTTGGACTTTGGTCAATGCACGCAGGAACTGAGACAAGTGAGACAGCTCTGAGCAGACCGACGAACCAAACCGAGTTTCCGCTTGGTCAGGTGACGTTTTTTCAGGCTGAAGATGCTGCACGGGTGGTTTTCTGTTTGCTTCCCTTTTTGAGCCAACCCTCAAAAAGGGTAAGCCTCAAAGATCCCGAGCCCAGCTGAACATTTTCTCCTTGGCTTCGGCTGTGATGAAAATCAGGCTTCCAGGAGGCACTTTGTGTCACGAACATCGCAAATGGAGGAGGTGTTTGGTTGCTCCGCAGCTCCAGCTTGAAGCATTCGATCCTTCTGACGATATGTCCTTTCGTTTGCGTTGGTTTAGCTACTGCCCCCATTTCTCGGGTTAGACCCTCCGCGATTGAGCTTCTAACCACAGGCGGTTGAGTGAGAACGTCTTTCTTCAGGCTTCCTTTTGTTAGGGGTTTCCTTTTTTGATGTCCTTGAAAAAAGCCAACCAAAAGGGGTTTCCCCCTGAAAGGTACCCCCCAGTTCCTTTTTCCATCGCTGAAACCGAGCTTCCAGCCATGTTCCTGGGGCTTTGCGGCCTGCTGGTCTATGGCGTGCAGGCTGAGTATGCGAGGACGGGCGCTCTTTGGTTTCTGTGGCCTAGGGGCTCCGAAGACTTCCGTTTGTTGAGGAATACGTTTTGTGTTTCCTCCTAGGTCTCCAAGTAGTGCCCTGTCTCTCCCCTTTTTTGGGGGGAGGGTTCCCCTACAAAAATAGACTACAGAAAAAGGGTATTCTAACCTCTCTCTTTCTGCCTTCTGGTTGCTGCATCCGCGCTGGCTGCTCAGAGAGCAGAGTGCCCGTAGGGGCTCAAGTCCCCTGAAAATAACAATCTGTTAGCAGTGATCGGTTCCGTTGAACACAGCAGGGTCTAGGTCCTCCAGTAGAGAGGTTAGAATGCCCTTTTTTTGTAGTTTAATTTTGTAGGGGAAGGCAAAAGGGCGGGAGGGAGGGAGAGATAGAGATAGAGAGAGAGAGAGAGAGCGAGAGAGAGAGCGAAGGAGAGAGAGGCGCTGACAGCAACTCCAGCGGCATGGAAACCCGTTGCCACCGGAGAGCAGCCTCAAACATGCACGAAACAGCCTCACTTTCACCAGCATCGGCCCCTGTTCTTGGATGGCTTTGGCTTGGGCGAGTCTGCCCTACTGGAAACATGTTGGAGCACAGCTTGTTTTGGGTGGACCTCCAAAACAGGGAACAAGGAGAGATAAACTAGGAATATATTGTTGCAATGTCCTTTATTTGGGTGAGCCAAGGTGACTAAACCCAAGTAGAGAATGATGGCACAGTTTCCTTTCCAAATGGAGAAGTTAGACTTGGAAAGTAGATGGTGCAGATTTCTTTAAAGTAAAGACAAGTAAACCCACCTAGGTCCCCCAGTAGTGCCTTTTTACCCCTTTTTAGGGGGGTTGGTTCCCCTACTAAAATAGACTACAGAAAAAATCAGGTACCAACTTATTCTAATCCCTACTACTGGAGGACCTAGCCACATAGGTTCGACTTGTGGCGGGGCTATGTTCTTGTCCAACGGCTCAGGAGCTTGGGCCAAGACCTGGCGCAGTTCCTGGCGCCGAAGGCCTGCCAAGGCGCATGTCTTTCCTCAAGCGGTGGGTTAAAGCTGTCAACCTGTGGCTGCTTTGGGCTTGGATTGATGATGATGATGATGATGATGATGATGATGATGATGATGACCATCGTGATGGTAGTGGGGCGATGGTGGTGCTAATGGGAATGGGGAGGGTGGTGGTGGTGATGGTGGTGGTGATTGTGACAGTGCGGGGGTGGTGGTGGTGGTGGTGGTGGTGGTGGTGATTGGTGTTGGTGGTGGTGGTGATGATGACAGTGATGATGGTCGTGGTGGTGGTGGTGGTGGTGGTGGTGGTGGTGGTGGTGGTGGTGGTGGTGGATGATGACGGTGATGATGGTCGTGGTGGTTCCGGTGGTGATGGTGGCGATGGTGATGGTGATGGTGCGAGTGTGGTTCCGCAAGTTTGGGGCGTGACTTTTGAAAGGGCTACTTGCAGCATGGAACGATCCTAACTGCGGAGGCCCCACGCTCATTCTCTTCTCCTCCGCATCTTCGGCTTCGAGGAACGCCTTCGAAGAGTCTGCAGAAGAGACAGCAGGCCTGGCGTGCACCTTGGATATTGGAATGGCAAACTGAGTGCCAAACAACCCACAGGGAAGCCAAAGGAAAATCAACCATTTTATGGGGGTGGCCATTTTAAGACAGTTTTTGTTGTTTTGTTACACCCAGTAGGTGTGATATGCCCCCCTCCACAAAAATGGACGGCTTGGTTGGAATCTATTGTCGGGAAGGGTACCTGGCAAAAAGACAGTTGTGTATGCTCCCACACCTCTGGATGGCTTCTAAAAAGGACCGTAGACGATACCACCCATTCTTGCGGGTGCCCGAGTTTGGGACGAGCACATACTTGTATGTTGTCACGAGTTGTCACCTGTTTGTGGAGGGAGGAATCATGTTCGTCCCAGGCCGCATGGTTTTACCACCCCTTACCCCTGCGCGCCCAAAAAGACCCCACCAGGGGATGGATATGTTGTAAGCAGAAAGCCGCCGCTTGGCTCTGATTTGCTCAACTTGTTCTTGACCCCTGTTCACTTGGGAATGGGGCTAAATTAAATCACCAGGGGACCGCAGGTTCTAGTCCATGTTTCCCTTTACCAGGGCAACCCATTTGGGGTTCCTATAACGACCCACAGCCACTTTGAGGGGAGCTGGACATGTCTGTTGGGCGTCGCTTAGAGACTTCCCAGTTTCCCAGGACACGGGTAGAAGTGGATAAACATTCAGGGTTCATTGGGGTTGGGGTTAGGAAGCCTCAGCGCGTTAAACACAAGCACCCTCCCTTTTTCAAGACCCCCCCCCCCTGGGGCTGCTCCAAGCTGTGGGATGGCAAGTGCAATGCATTCAACCCAACATGTCCTTCCAACAGGTTTGCATCATATGCTGGGGGTTTAAACCCGGACTGCTGCATCAGCATCGCCTCCCGCACATAGCGGCTATAGTGGAAGTAGAATTGCCTCCCCGGTTTGGAATGAATACATTCCCCAAATCATTGATTCTACATGGTAATTACACGGGTTTCACACGGAGAGGGGCCTTCTCGTTCGTTTTTTTTTTTTTTAGCGGGGGCACACCCAAGTCTTTTATATCTGATTTAGTGGTGAGGCGTGAGCATGTCGAGATTGGAAGTACGAGCCTAAGCTTAGCATAGAGCACCTGCAGGATCCCAATCCCTTGGCAGAATGGTATGGATATTCGGTAATGACCAAGCCTCCGAGCAGACTTGGCTATCGGGACCGGCTCTTGAGAGCGGAGTTGCGGCACAGCCGGTGGGTTTAGTAAACCATAGCCTGTGGGCCAACTTGAGCACGGAACTGCCTTCCGAGTTCCTGGGCTTTTGGGAAGATCCGTTTTGGTTCGTAACAAGCGACCTGTTGTTGGCCCATTTACTCGGCCTGGGTGAAGCAGATTGCTTGCCCAGTCTCCGTGAGTCTCTGAGGCATGGGTACTCTGGACTGTGACCAGTGGCCTCGGATTTGCGCAGAGCAGAACGTGAGGCAGAGGCCGCTGGTGATGCTGTACCCCACCGGGAATCGCAGCTCGGAGAGCTCGGGGTGTCCAGTTGACCACGTTACCTTGCCTGGAATCCATCTGAGGTATTGGGGTAGTCGAAATGTGATAATCTGAACATATCCTTTTTCCGTGTAGCCCTGGGCGAAGTTGCCACCACACTCACCACACCCCGCCGAAACGGGGGCCATTTTTGAGAAAATAAGTAATGTCGACCCCGGATTAATAAACCCGTCCCAGTATTAGGGGGGTGTTCCCTCCAAAAGTGATGAATCCCAAAAGGGGACACCCCCCGATCAAAATGAACCAGGGGTTCTGCTTAATCCGGGGTTAGCATTACATCAAATGTCCGGTGCACTTTTTCTCAGAGCTTCTGATTTCAACAAGTGTTCAGGCTCTGACCTTCCAGGCTCCTCGTGTTGAAATCCGCCGATTTCGATGATGCCCATTTGGCTCGGCCAGGTCAGTTTCCCCCCACAAGTTTCGCCCCATTTGCGTCTCAGGCTATGTTTTTTGTTTTGTTCCCCCCCCCCCCGGTTTGTTTTTTAGGACCTCTATAGCTACTGGACGGCCATTCAGCAAATGGGAGATTGGGAGTTGAGGTCTCTTGAGCAAATCAGCCCGTGTTGTCCCAGCTGTGTAGATCCCTTTCCCATCCCAAGTCTCTCTTCAACAATCCGCTTGACCACCTAGATCTTTGACAGATTTTTGAAAATCATCCCCGAAAGCCGAAAGCCATTAAACTCAGCCTGGGGTTGGCAGCTCAACACAGCTCGCAGTTCTCAGCGAATCGTCCGGTTCAACTTTGGCTTTTAGTTGTTTGGGCTTCCATTTAACCCACAAGTTAAACTTTTCGCCAGGGATCAGTTTAGACAGTCATGAATTCATATGAAATCCCTGCAAATGTGGCTTTCCATTGGTGGACCCAAGAGCCCCGCGAGTAACATAAATGGGTGTGTTTCTTAGGGGACCCCCCAAAATGGCTTCGGTGTTCCTTTCGGTTTCCCTTTAAAACCCACCAAACAGGGGTATCCCAAATGGCTCAGATTTTCATTGAGGAACCACCTCCGAGCTGGTTGGAGATGTGCAAGGGCCTACGAAAATAGAGACCCAGATGTGTTCCGCTTCTGGGTTCCTTGGTGAATGATTGGGTCAGGACTGACCCAGGGTTTGGGAATGAACCTGATTCCCTTAAAGGAAACCATAGGGGCTTCTGGTGTTCCGTGAACGGAGAACCCCAAAAAGGGAACCCGAAAAAATGAGACACATCTAGGAAAACAGCGTCCAATGGAAGTGGACGATTGGGTTCTGGAAGTTTTGGAAGACCAGCCCAACAAAACCACGTCCACTTCTATGATTGGAAAGAGGGCAAGTGGTAGACAGAACAAGTCGAGACGTTTATCTTGACCTCTGATTAGAAAACCCCTTCCAGCTAATAGTCAGGAAGAAGCAAATGTTCACCAACAAGGGAACGCTTTATATCTATATTTTTGTTGACTGCTATAGCAAGTCTACTTGAATTGGATCTCTGTGAAATGTCCACGGGGTCTGACAGGTTGCATCTTATTGCTGTGGAAAGCAGAGGGTTTTCACCCTGTCCAAACAAGCAATTTTGGGCACCTGCCTACATGGGCACAATAACTTTTGGGGCTCAACCTGCATCTGATGGTTCTCAGAAACCTACCCCGTATAAGGGGGCGGTATCTCTTCAAGAACCCGGGTTCAACCCCCCAACCCACCAATCCAATCCACCCTTTGTGATCAATTGGGCCTTGCTTGAAGGACATCCTGACTTTGTATTATAGGGCAGTTTAAGCTCGCCGAAACTATCTTGGCTGCTATTGGCTTGGATCTTTAGACTTTAACTTTTTGGGAAATCAAGTTGGGTTTTCCACTAAAGCCAGATAAGTTATTTTTTTGGTGAGGGGTCAACATCAACCAAGCTATAAGAAACGAAATAAGACAATACAGTACTTGACTGTGACTGCGCTTCGATCGAGGTGCCGCGCGCGTTTTCCAGGGCCAGCACTCTCGTGAGGGCTTCACCTCGGCCGTGGCGATTTGGCTTCAGCGTGTCATGCGCCAAGTGATTGACATGGCGTTTGAGGCGGTGATGCTTGTATGTCACCTAGGTCCCCAGTAGTGCCCTTTCTCACCCCTTTTGGTTGGGAGGGTTCCCTTACTAAAATAGACTACAGAGAGAAAAAGAAAGGTTCCCTGATTCTAATCTCTCTACGGACCTAGTCTCGCAATTTCTTCAGCTAAGCTCTTGTTGGCAGCAAACTGCTTTCTCGGGTTTCCCCGTCATCCCCCATTCAAGGAACATGTTCTCGCAAGGACTTCTATGGGGTTTTCCTTTTCTTTGAGTCAGACGGGGTCCAACTCCCAACTCGCCGGTCAACCTCCATGTTGCCAAGCGGGTTTCTTAGCTTCTTTCTCGCAACCAACTAGGTGTGTGTGTGTGTGTGTGAATCGTGGCTGCCCCGTTCTGCTGCAATGTTGCAGCAGACGTTTCCAACAGCCATGGAAATGATTGAAAAGATGATGGTGTTTTCAACGTTTTCAACTCTGTTGACTGTCCCGAAGCCAAATCTTTGGCACCCAGGAAAGGATTTCAAGAGCAACGGGAGCTCTGATCCCGTTGCATTTCTCTCCACTGTGCACTGCCACCCACTGGTCCTAAGGAAATGTGGCATACACTCTTGATGGTGGCCGCATAGGGGTCATGTTCTCCTGTATCCTTGGGGTTAAGGGGTTGGGGGTATTGGAGCTCCGTGTTAGAATGCCCCACTGTGAGGCGAGCATGATCGCCTTCAACGACCGGACAGTGCAGGTGACCAAGAAGAACCTAAACGAGTTCCTGGGAGGACCGGCAGGTGGCTGAAAGGTGTTTTTTTTTTTTAGTGTCTTGGCTGCTGTTGGGCAACGGATCTTTAGACTTTAACTTTTTGGTTGAAATCAAGTTGGGTTTTCCACTAAACCCCCAAACAGTTAAACTTTTTGCAGGAGGGTCAACAGCAACCAAGGTGTGAGCGAAATAACATGTGGAGTGTGGGTCGCAATTAAGCCGCCACAAAACCGCAGGTTTTGGTCCATGTTTCCACTTACCAGGGTTCCATTTGGGGTACCGTTTTGACCCACAGCCATGTCAACATTTGCGGAAATGTTTGTTTCCCTGCGGGCTATGGAACACGGCTTTTGAAAGGATGGGGGTCATTCCCAAATTTGTTCTTTCATTTCCTCTTAGGGAGCTTCAAGCAAGCTTTTGGTTGCCCCTTAGGGACCCTCAAATAAAGGTTGACCTGGTGTCGTGACAAACAGCTGTTGCCAAATCAGGGAGCCCAAGGGTCTTTCTTGAGGTTGGTGCCATGAGCAGCTGACTTTGCCAATTTTAGCGGTCATCTCTTTGTATGCTTTGATTCTCCTCGCATCCATTTTGCTTCAGAGTACTTCTTTTATTTCCCCTTGTTGGTATCGAAAGGAATGCATCGCTGCTGGACATGTCTTTTTATGTTTTCCAGGGGTCCTAACCAAATGGCCGAAAATCGACGTCGTTTTCGCAGGACAAAGAAGCCTCACCTAGCCAGTGGACACACTTTACACTTTTCTCCTTTGTGGCTCTCCCTTGATTTAAGCGGTGGCCCAAAAAGTGTACCCTTGTTTTTGGGCTGGTCACTGGCCAATATTCCATGTTTGGTTCCGTGTTGGGGAAGAGGAATGGAATTCGGGGACCCCCTACCCCCCCCCCGCCCTCCCTGAAGGTGGGGGAGATCGTCGCTCGCAGGAAAATGCTCAGAAGCATTTTTATTTTTATTTTCCAGTTTTCTTAACCAAATGGAAGAAAATCGACGTCGCTCGTAGGAAACTTTTAGCAGGGGAGCAGAGAGCGACCAAATAGAAATCACTACTGCAAATAGTTTGTTTTTCCAGGGGTCTTAACCAAAATGGAAGACAAACGACGTCGTTTTCGTAGGAAAAAAGGGCTTGCAAACCTTCAGGACGGCTGCACCCCATCAAGGTGATCCTCTTCTCCCGGCGCAAGGGCACCCCCGCCATCTTCAAGGCCGCGAATCGCTTTTCGCGAATCGCGAAATCGAGCCGTCTGAGCGGTGGCTCGCCACGCTGGCCGCGTTCTTTTTGGAACGGTGGGAACAACTTCCGTGTTTTTTTTTTTTTGTTTGGGGGGGGGGGGCGGGCGGGGGTGGGAGGGGGGACGATGGGAAGGAATGGGTGGTGCGTCACTTCTTTAAGGTGATTCATGATCATGTTTTTTGTGGGGGGGGGGGGCGATGATGGGAACGAAGGGGTAGTCACTTCTTTGAGGTGATTCATGTGTTTTTTTGGTGTCATGTGCCACGAATGCCTTTTTAGTGCTTGGTTTCCCTGGGGTTCCTCAAAGCCTGGTGGGTAGTTCGGAGCCCCCAACCCCGCCCCCTGGATCCGGCCCAGAAACAGGTTCCGAGCTATTCGAGTCACGCGAGTGGTGGGTTCCAGGCGCTGTCCAGCGACGTGGACCTTTGGCCCCACATGGACTTCGGCTTTGTGCCGGAAGAGGTGGACAATACCCGAAACCCCCTGTGGCGCGGCGACATTGGTGGATTCCCAGCCATCCGCTTCCATAGATTTTTACATTTTTAGTTGGTTCCTTGGGGGTTTCCTTTTTTACCCTCTAAAAGTTTCAGCTTTCGGCAGGGGATCTGAGGACTTTTGACTTGTTGACCTCGGATTAATCTGGAGGAGCCTACTAGTCAGAGGAGCCCCCTACAATATAGATGATAATAGATAATGTTCGTACTGAAAGGAGAACTGCTGATAAATCCGAGGTTGTCCTTGTTTTGACGCAGAGTCCTTTTGCCACCTCTACTTCCAATTATCGGGTTAGCCTTGGTTGGTGGTTTTGAATTGGTGGTTTTGGGGATTTGGACCCTAGGGTTCTTGGAGAGGGTAATGGGATGCCACCCAAAGCCACTAGACAAACCACCCTTTTCAGAAGCAGAAATTATGGCCACCCCATATATCCCCTCCCCAGCCTGGAACCTGACTGAGGGATCATGCGAGGAGCGCAAAAATGTCAACTTTTCGAACGCTCATCACCTTGGCCACATTTTCTATCCTTGAAGCAGCTCTCAGCAATAATATCTTCCTTTCCCTCCCTTAAGATGATCGCTCTTTCTTCCATTTCTTTAGGCCCGCTGGAGAAAATGAGACGACATGTCCAGTAGTGACAGATTCCCTTTAAGGCCAACAAGAGACAAGTGGACAGATATCCGCTTCAGCAAAGGTTTCCTTTGCACATCCCCAGCCCCTTTAAAATGGAATTGGGGGAGGGGGGGGGGGTGCTGAAATTCCATTTATGGCTCCATTTTCCCTGTATGTCAAAATGAAGATGAATGGAACTAGGGGGTTTTCCCCCCACCCACCCTCCCCCACCCTCCCCTCAGGGAGTTCCGAGCTTTAGGCTGGAGATCTATGGAATCGGCCTGGTGCCGCAAGTCTTGGTCCAGTACGGCCTAGACATGTCCTCAGTGCAGCTCTACCCCAGCAACGACATCACCTACCGGGCCCTCAAGGCGTCGAAACCTCTTTGGGAAAAGAGTTGGCTTTGTGGGACATATTCCGAGTTCATTCCAGGTTGAAGAACCCCATGAGAAAAAAAGCAAACAAACAGAGAAACACACACACACACATGCCTTTCTGAAAAATGGTTAGGTTTGCCTTTGCTCCTTTCCAGGGTTAGGGTTGAACAGCCACTGTTGCTGCTACATCTCCTGGGTGCGAATTGACAAAAAGAGCGTGGGCACGGTGTTCGATTTTCGAGATCCCTCATTTAGCACCGCGTGAGAAGTTCAGTGGGCCATCCAGTTCAGCCACAAGTGAGAAGCAGGAGTGCGAAGAGCTCTGAGAAGACCCGCAGTGTTAGCTTCACTGCTTGTGTTTCAGCTGTTTCCTCGGTTTTTTCGTTCTCTTCATTGTCATGCGCAAAACAAATATACCTCCAGTGGGTCTGTTCCGTCTTTTGGCTAGGCCAGCAAAGACTAGAGGAGAATTCCCAGACTTCGATCCATTTAGTTTAGAAAAATATATTTGTTTCCCTGTTGGTTTTTACAGGGAACCTATCACTACTGGACATATTTTCTCATTTTTCAGGGGACAAGAACGTAAATGGAGGCAGACCAGATGTGAGGTGCCCTGGCGCCTCTTATTCTCGGACATTTGCCTAGGCCCCCACGAATGTGTTTTCCATTAAGCCACGAAAAGCAAAACTAAAAGCAACTTTTAGCAGGGGAGCAGAAAGCCACCGAGGGTTCAGTGCTTTCCCTCCGAGTTTCATGGCCACGTGTTCAACTGCAGACTCGAACTTGGTGTCTCACTTCCGCGCCCTCTCCCGCGACCCTTTTTTCCCAAAGATGTGACTCCAACAACGTGTTCCTGGGAGAAAGAACCCACGCCTGTGGCACATCCAAGGCCAGTTCTCACATACTGACGTGGTTGCAAAGGGGTCAAATTGAGCTTTAGGTCGTTTTGCAGCTTGGAACCGCCCTACCGGCACCACCAAGAGCTGAATAGGGGTTTGCGCTGAATCACGACCCCAGTGGTGAGTTACGACCTCAGGGCTTAGGGTGCAACCCGCCAGTTGAGAAGAGTTCTGCATGGGAAGTCTTGTTTTGCGATGGTACCCCCTTTTCTGGTAGGTTTTAAAGGGAACCAAAAGGAAAACCAAAATCTATTTTGAAGGGGTTCGATTGCTGGAAAAAGACGAGCCACTGATGTGGGGAAGTTTGCCTTCTTGGAACTTATTTTTGGGGCTAGCGCAAGTACAGGTTCTCCAGGTGACGGTCAGGGGCTTCCTGAACAGCGATCGATAAGGGCGCACCTACTCGTTTCAGCGCCCTTGTAGCGCTTGTTTGTATGTGTGTGTGCCCCCTGTAACCTCCAAGGCTGGAGCAGCCGAATCATGTTTCAGACAGGCCTCTGTGTGTGTTTCTCTGTTTGTGT